TGAAAAAAAGGATGTTGTTGTGGCGCTCTGAGGTGGGATCGCACACTAGGGGGCGACAAAGAGGAGTGTTTGTGCAGTCCCGCTCCGCGTGCTTCACATCTCAGTCCCTGGCAGTAGTTTTGAGTACTTCCATCCTTTCACGATCCATCTTTCTCCTGTCTTTCAGCATCTCCCCTCTTTCCATCAACCGCCCCCTCCTGTTTCCACACACGAGTGACTTCCACAGGTTTACCTAATGGATTATTAAGTAGCTGATTGGGGATCAATTAAGTACTTAAAGTTTGTTAGGCAGAGTCAATGGCTGTGAAGGCTTGCAGTGGTGGTGGAGTAACTCATCGCCAACATTTGAAAGAAACTGCATGTTTGCTGCCCACGAGGCCATAGAGGCCTTTGCTTCAGGGAAAAGGGTACTGCTGAACATGCAAGTGCATCGTTACAGTTCACCGTAAAAGCCAGGCAGTAATTTCTTCTTGGTAGAAGAGGCAAATTTATGAGGTAGTAGGAAAGATAGTCTATATGCTGGTGAAAGCAGTGAAATATAGTTTAATAATGCAGTGAGTCATTTCTGTCATTTGCCCCAATTCTTCGCATGTTGTGGCGAGGTTGTGGAGTAGAAGTGATTCAGTGTCCAAACAGAAAATACTCATTATTCACATGGAAAATGTTTACCTAAACTCTGTCTAAGACAGAAACGTTTCTGTCCTGTAACTGAACGATTTATGCTAAGAATTCTCGTGCGCTTTTGTACAAATCAAATAATACTAAAAAGACTCTTCAGTTCATATTTTTTTTGTTTTTGGGTGAATATTAGTGAGCTATATGCTAGAACCGAGCACAGCCAAGATGAGGCACGGACAAAAAGAGTTGGCAAAACAAGAAAGATAAGAGAAAGGGCCAAGAACGAGGGGAAGAGAAAGGGCTTTCTCCTGTGGTGAAAAGAATGAGAAAGAGAAAGAGAGAAGGAGGGAGGGAAGAAGGGAGGGAGGACTCAACACACAGTCACACACACGCGCGCGAGCACACACACTCTCTAACCTCATATACGAGACAGAGGAGCGGAAACGGGTCGAATCCTACTTCAAATTCTCTTTCCTCTCGGCTTGTCGACCGGGGAAAACAAACCGACCCGAGGCACAGCGAATGGGGATTTACTAATTAACTACTTACACAGAGAGAGAGAGGGAGAGAGAGAGAGAGAGAAAGAGAGAGAGAGAGAGAGAGAGAAAGAGAAGGAGAGAGAGACAGAGAGAGAGAGAGAGATGCGCACCTCCTCTGCGCGCGCCCGCCCTCTCCCTCACTCACAGCGCTCGTGCTAGGTGGTGTAGAGGTGCGCGCGCGGTCCCGGGCTTCCAGCGCCCCGTACAAACTGCGGCCCGGCGGAGAGAGGGAGAGAGTACGGAGCGCCGGAGCGGCACGAGCAGAGGTATGGCAGTGACCGCACCGCGCGCGGATAGAATTACGCTTATTTATGTAGCTTGTGTAGAATCACGGGGGCCGTTTATTTCTGTAAACTTGATGAACTTTTTTTTGTTTTGTATAGTACAATTTAAAATATATGTATTTTATATCTATTATTATTATTATTATTATTATTACTGTTATTATTATTATTTTTTATTATTTTTAGACATTTTTGCAACTTTTTTGTTTTTTGTTTTAATAGCCGCAATTGTTTTTCTTACCCTTGCTTTTTTTTAGACTTTTTTAGGCAATGTTCATAGTTTATGCTTTTATTTTTCATAACCAAAAGGTCCAACAGAAAAACACTGCGAATCTTGATTACTCGTTAAGGTGACACTGATATGTTTAAAATCTGCTTGTATATGTGACTGTTGACTCATTCAGTTCAATGGCAGTGTCGTGTATGTTCAGTGTGCAGAAACATTAGTTGAGTTTTGCGTGTTGCTCGTGGCAGCCCGGATCAGTGTACATATTTGTTAAGGCAGTGCTCGGAGCCCTCACCTACACTCCACACTATCAATCAGTCAATTAGACAGTCACTCACTCGCTAAGTGGAGACGTTTCATGAGCTCTGCGTTCATCCCTTCTACCTGCCCTTGTCCAGTCGTCGGCCATCCAGTCCAATTCTTCGCGTTTCTTAATGGTCAATAGAGACATGCGAGGGAGAGTAATATATTGAGTTATACAGTGGACTATATTTATCTCATAGTTATATGCGTATATTCACTTGATATTTAAGGCCTATCAAGTGTTTTTAAATACACGTACTTCTTGACTGACAAAGTACAGGCTAAAAATATTGCCTAAAAATACATTTTAATGAAAATAAAAAACAGACAAAATGCCAGATTTAGGACACAAGTCATAGGGATTTTGGGGAGTTCGATGGATGCTCTGTGAAACACGTTTTTGCTTTGACACCTTACAGGCCGCTAAGCCGGGGGAGCTTCAGCTGTGGAAAAGTTGGCCGTAAGAGTGCATGTCCAGTTTCCATGTAAAAGCCTTCAGGGGGTGAGCCACGACTCCAAAAGTGAAAAAGTTAAATCAAAGATGTTTTTTTAAAGCTCGCATTGGCCAATTTGGAATGCATATCCACGTGCGCAGTGGGAGCGCCTCATCAATTATTTGCGCCGCTCTGTTTTTGATAACAGGTGTTTATAAATCGATATATAGACATGTAGGTCTAAGCACATCAGATGTCCTGATCTTCCACTAGATGTATCGAAACCAGCAGAAAGTTGTTTGCGTTTGTTAAATTATTCACTACGTACCACACGAGTAAATCCAGAGGTCTCTCAAGTTCTCCCGCTTTCACGATTTTGGTCCTCGCGGTTTTCTCTAAAAAACTTTTTTGGGTTTGTTTGAGGCTGATCCGAAGAGGCTGTAGGTCTCAAGTTTCAATACTAAGTTGAAAAATTGACTCTCTTTCAGGCTACATGCCAATTGATTTTTAAATTATTATCATAGTGGACATTTTTGCCGATTTCTATGTTTTATTTTTTCGTATCTGTTTAAAATGAACAGTCAGGCCTAAATCTCAGTTTTGAAAACAACAAACAGTAGTAGGTTATACCTCTATGAAAGTTACATATTGTTGTCAGAAAAAATAAAAAAAGTAAAAAATTAGTTTGCACTTTGAATTGAGAGCAAAATGACACGACGTGCGCCAGATTTTGGCAGAAACTAAATCTGAATCTAATATTTAAATCGTGCGGTGAAAACATGAGGAAATAATTATCTTAATATTTTCTTAATTTACTGATAAGTAATATCTTAAATGATATTGTAATCCATTGTAAAGCGTGTTGAATGCACAGTGGCTGTTAAGTAATTAAAAACAGGGGTGGAATTAATCTGTGATGGGGAAAACAAACGTGTTCGCCTAATTCTAAACACTAAACACGTTGAGGTTTCCAGATATTTCCTCTCTCTGGATCCTCCCCTGAAACAGCCGCATTCTACACATTTCACCGCGTGTATTTGCCTGTTTTCACAGCTCATTTCATTTCTATCATGACGGTGTAATTCACTGCGGGCTAAGCCGCTTTCTGATTTCGGACATTTGGAATGTCGTTTAATTCTCTTACAGCGCTGCTCTGTGCCAGGGCTCGGCTCCCTCCTGCGTCTCTCCGTCTGTCAATATTTGGTGGAAATATTTCCGACATTAAATGGCATTTGGGGAAATCTCTACTCTCTCCGTCCCTCAGCTTTGCCCCCCTCCCTCCTCCCCTAACCCTCCACCTACTACCTCTCACGCTGCGGAGGACTTAGTCGCTGCTGTCAGAGTATCAGAGTATGTCTGAAGTGAAAATGTTGAGTCTTCTATTAGATGAAATAATAATAATAATAATAATAATAATAATAATAATAATAATAATTATTATTATTATTGTTAGTATTATTATTATTATTATTATTATTATTATTTAAGCAGGAATGTCTAATGGACGCACGAATGATTTGACTTATGTTAAATAATTTCAATAATCTCTAGAAAATTGTTTTACCAAACTGACAAGCAATCCAGTGTAGTACAGCATGCCTAAGTCTAAACTTGGCGCATAATGAAAAAAAAATACAAAATAATCTGGAGTTGAAACTTCCAGATGCTCATCTGACAATTCCAAGTAAAATTTTGAACAGACTAATTTTCCGTTTTTTTCTGCGTCCTGCTGTTTATATTTATTTTTCCTTTTAAATCTATAATTAATTTCGCAAGTACATCTTGTATTTCAACACGTGCATCGCTTTTATTTGTGCCAAATGTCCATGTGTTCCTAACAGGTACATATTACTCTTATATTTGCTCTATATTTTCTACTCTTTTCTGCTTTCTTTCTTTTTTTCTTATTATCGCACTGCTGGACCGTGGATTTTAGTAACATCACGCAGTAAAAGGCGGACGGAGAAGACTACTTGGTGCTTGGTAAAGAAATACACAGGCACCACATTTTCTTACCTATAGCAAGTGAAACTTCAAATTACTCAGATTTTTGTCCCTCCCAGGACGTTTTGTGTGGTAAAATGCTGCGTTTATATATTGGATGAAAAATACGGAGGTTCATATTTATTAATAATTCGCCTACGCGCTGACAGCCTATTTAAAGCGCACGAGCACGATAAGCTCTAGCGTTATTGACATTCTGATTAAGTCAGCTTACGATGGTCCAACCGCTATTAAACACAAAGCTCTGACTTTAGTACACAGACTACAGAACGACTTTCACTAAAGTAATCGGGATGTGCTGCTGATGACTGAGAGCCTCGAAATCAGCAGGCTAGCGGCTGTGTGAGCGACTCGCGCGGTCTCTCGAGCCCTCTGAACGTGTCTGCGTGTGTGTTTGTGAGAGAGAGAGAGAGCAGAGAGAGACAGAGAGACAGGGAGAGAGAGAGAGTTAAAGTCTGCTGTCCAGCTAACTTGTCACCATCAAAACATAAAATGCAGAGAGGAAACACTGATATGTCTGTTGTATTTTCATTCTAGAATCCTCTACGCGACGTGGAGCGGCAGAACTTCTTTTGCCATTCCCATCGGATCCAGTGACACCCAGCGATTCCCAGTCCAGTTCAGAAAGGGTCCGCGGTTCGGGCTTCGGCCCGCGCTTTCCATCTGAGGCAACCCCACTCCGGAGATCCGGTAAGTCTGAACGTCTAGAGCTCCAACCACCTTCATCATGCTCTCTTATGAGTCTCATCTCGGAGGAATACACATCTGCTCCAATCTTTACTCCCATCTCTGCAGTTTCTGCACTGAAGGAAACGAAACTCAACCTAAATGTGACGATACGCGCCATAAATACTTTTTCATTTTTATTCCCACATAAACCTGATGACCTCACCATTACCAGGTATTTGTGGAGCTTACTGGCATAGGACAAGAAATGTAGTGAAATAGGTGCAAACTCCTTTAACATCGTTTAATGCGCAATAACAATGACGCTATTTCATCCGCATGTACATCATAGCTTTTTGGGCAAAAGACTCTTCAGTCTGTAGGACTTATTCCTTCCAAATTAATTGATCTTAACTAGCTTCACCTACTTAACTAAGCACTATACAAGAAATAGCTCGTGTTTCTAGATGCATTAGTAAGTTTAACAAATGTTAGTTATGTTTTATAGTGGAAGTTCAATCCCAGTGAACTTTCAAGTACTGGAGTCAAACTTCTTTTCTTTTTTTTTTATCTCCTATTATAGGTATATTGCCCATTTAACAGTTGATGTGGTTATGAAGCAAGTTAACAGTTAGTGAGCTCAATTAGCAATTAGGCACAGATGCTCTTCTTATCTGTTTTCACTCTAAACACAAAATACAGGAATTTTAAATGAGAGATTTTAGGTCAGTTTTAGGTCAGCCTTCAATGCAAATTACCAAGGCTTCTGGAAGTTGTAATCCTGCATTACACTTATACTAAACTGCATTCTAACATATTCCCTTATCCAACATCCTGTACATGGCTAACACACTCAGTAGCCCACTAGATGATAGTGTTGTAGACTGGTGTATCTCATGAATCTTTCTTATCTTTAGTTTTATGTGCACATTGGTACTACTTAATTATGGTGTGTTGTGTTTGTGTAAGATGGCTTCTCCTTTTGGGTCCTTTTTCCTCTCACACTGGTTTATACTGTTAGGGAGTTTTTCCTGCCCCTGTTGCCCTCGATTTGCTCATTAGTTCAGGTAGTGTATGGTGTAAAAAGTGCTACATAAATAAAACTGAATTTTTATTCAACTCCCAGTCAGGTATAAAGTATAAAAGACCACCTTTTCACTGACACTCTGTATTAGACAGTAATTGGTCAAAATGAAGACTCTTTTGCACCTTATCAGCTGCTCACCCTCTGTCACTCTCTCCCTCATTCTATCTCCCTGACATCTTCCCCTATCTCTCTAACCTCTGTTTTGCACACTTAGTAACTACAACATTGTACTCAACAACAGCACACACGCACACACACACACACACACACTCACACACGCACACATATATATACCTATCTCTCGATCAGGCTTGTTGGCCATGTGGAGAGTAGTAAAGGTCAGTTAATCGATGGGGCCCAATTTGACAAATCCCAGTGACTCTTATCAACGTGTAGGAAAGAAGGATGCTGATATAATGTTTAATCCCAACAGCAAGTGCAGGGAGAGAGAAAGAAGAGGGAGAGCAGGAAGGAGAAGGACAGCTATGTTCATGGGTGGGAACAGGAGGACATTTGGAAAGAAACAAGGACAACTGTGAGTTTATCTACAGACCTGTCTTAAGTCTTTTCAATGAGAACATTCATAGCATCTAATTCATTAGTCTGCTTTTAAGTTGAGACCAGTTTGAGAGAACTGCCCCGAGGAAAAGAAATATAATTTATGAGAGTATGTGAAATGAGGGTAACTTATTAGTGTGGTTATGTGTATGTTATCTGTCTCATAAAAATGTGCTATGTATAGAAAATAGCCCTATAATCTTGCTTTTGGATTGAGGTTGGAATTCCATCAGAATACTCCTAAAAATTAAAGGTTCAGAAACAGTTCTTGGCTTAAAACATATGATCCTACTGAAACCTTCAATTGGTATAGAGCCTTAACAACACTGATAAAACTGTCAAAACTTACCATTCATTCTCTAACCCATTCAGTCTATTTATAGAAATTAAACTGCAAAAACAGGCCATTTTGAAATAATTCTCTTTGTGATGACACATATTTACATATATCTACATATTCAGCCTACAGCAGTTTAAACTAGCCCATGAAGTTGTGTGTTTCAGTGACATGTTTCAGGCCCTACTGCTTTTTGAAGGAAGTACAGTATAGGGCAACCAATCAGAGCAGAGCTCTTTTAAATATCAATACTACTTACAATTTTTATCTACATCATTTGAGCACTGCAGTTGTCTTTATACTGTATGAACAATTCATGATGAATGAACAGAATAAAATTCTGTTACATTAGTTATGTCAAGAATGTTTTTGTAAAGTTACCATTTAGGAGATACAGTTAACGTCATGGTAACAGAGACAGTGTACTTAATTTGACAAAGATAAAGAAAGGTTATAAAATGGTCATAGATACATAAACCCACAGAACCATTGACATTGGGCCTCATAATGGGCTCTTTAAAAATGTTCTTTAAGGCATCATCAGCCAAAAGGTTCTCTACGGCAGAGTTTCTTAACCACTGGGCCTTGGACCATAAGTGGGCCGCAAAGCACCCTCGGGTTGTCCCCAGGTCCATACCGAAGAGGAGCAAGTGGGCATTGGAACAAAAAATCGATAAGAATTAAACCACTTAATAATAAGAATGAAATATTAAATGCTTTTTTAAACAGTAAACAATTAATCAAGCTCTGTAACAATGGTGCACAAAGCAATTTCATCAGTATTGTGCCCCTTATCTCTAGAAACAAAAAACACGGCACAACATTTCACTTACCCACTTACAACGATTGATGTAAAATAAATGCTTTGCAGAAACTTTCTCCTTAATTTGCCAAAATTCTGACTTATTTCTAGTATAAAACAAGATTATATTAGCCTAATCTGATATTTTATGGTTAACGACATACGCTGCATGTTGCAGGGGTAGGCACCCAAGCATCACTTTGTTTTCATAACAACGCCATTTTTAGGCAGTTGAGTTTTGTTTTCCTGTGGGCCTTCATATTTTCTAGTCACAGCAAGATGAAGATCTTCTGTCACCCCTGGGTAGTACAGTTATGATGCTTCCTCCTGACAAACTCATTGATAATAACATAAGTCAAGATATGAGACCAAACGCATCACTGAAATGTTGAGCCAAGAACTTAGTGCACCAATAAAGAACACTGGAGTTTGAAAAATCCTGGACAACATAATTTAACCCTACAAAACAAGATAACTGTGAACAAATGATTGAACTGTCAAACATAAACAGAATATGAATCTCAACCAAAGCATAGCCAATTCTTCGTAATGTTCTGTGATATTGCAGGGACTCTAATACATTTGCTTCTTTTAATTCTGCTGCAGGCTTGTCCTGCTCACCCTTCATAAAATATCTAAACTGAACCAAAGCTAACTGTTTGGCTAAAGATTTAATCTAATTTAATTTACTTTAATTTTGTTTTCAGGAAATGTTTTAGTGCCCACAGCAATTTGATGCCAAAGGGCAGTTGCCCAGCTTGCCCACATGGTCGATTCGTCCATGTTTGTAGTGATAAATAGGTGGGCCTTGAGGTGGTAAAGGCTGAGAAACCATGCTTTAGGGATCTAAAATTGTTTTTTCATGGCATTGGCATTTTTTAGCACCTTTATTTTTAGGAGTGTAGCGAAGATAGACAAAAGTTACAGATGACCACCACACACACACAGATTAGGAGAGACCGGGAAAGTTGCTTGGCCGAGCAAGCAGACTGACGCTCTTGTCCTGTCTGTTCGTCTAAATACCAGCTCAATGTAATTCGATTGAGATTAGTTGCACTGGCATGACAGGAGGTCCCTACTATTGCCAAAGCACTTAGGAGGCAATGACAGGCTCCCATCGACGTGTGCTAATACAACACTCCACGGCTGGCCATGCATTACTACTGCAGCACACACTCACACACGCACGCACAGTGGTGTGTCAGTGCTCATACATTACTTTGACAGAACAAGAAGTACTTGAGAGAGAGAGAGAGAGAGAGAGAGCGAGGGAGAGAGAATGAGAGAGAGAGATACAGTACTAGGGCTACTTCCAGACATTTTAGGACCGGAGTAAAGTCAGAATATAAAAACTGGATGTAGGCTGAATGTGAGTCAGACAGAGTAAGACAGAGGCAAGAGGCCAGAGGGGTGACATAAGAAGGGAAATAGAGGAAATGGTAGAGGGGAGAGTGATGGAGAGAAAGGAGAGATTGATGGAAAGAGTATGGTAGAGAAAGACAGAGAGAGGAAGAGTAAGTGCTCTGAGAAGATGGATGGAGGCAAGTTTGAAAGAAACAGGCACAGCCAAGACGTTGAGAATCTTTACAAGATCAGAGATTAAGTCAACATGTCCCCGGTCAGTCATTAATCCGATTTAAGAGCAATTAAGGTAAGACTGATCCTTTCCCCACAGAGAGACAGAGAGAGAGAGAGAGACAGAGAGAGAGAAGGAGAGAGAGGGAATATATATATATATATATGTGAGTGTGGGTGTGTGTGTGTGTGTGTGTGTATTAGCAGTAGTAGGGTGCACACTTGAAAAGAGCATGTGATGTGATCTTGTACGCAGTCAGAATTTCTAAGCATAATATGAAAAACCTGATTGATTTTTAGGGTTTCTGGGAGAAGAACCACAGCTGTGCAGTAAATTTTTAAAAGTGACAATCAACAAAATTTTCATATTTACCTTATTTTTCACATATCTTTAGTGCAGTAGATTGACTCAAACAGATACATTTTAAGCACCATGTTCAATGTTTTCAAAACATCTTTAGCATAATTCAGCTGGCATGTTAATTGTTTTCAAATTAAACGCTCACTTTAATTACGTTAGAGTGAGCATCTCATGGAAAGCCCAGTTTTCCTTACTTTTTTTTTAAATAAAAGCAGTTAACGTCATAGTAAACATTGTAAGAGTTTCAAAACTTTTCACTGTTCGAATTCATCATGGTGGTAATGTCACAACTATGAACACACAT